GAAGGGAGACTGGAGTTTCACTTCCGTGAAGGAAAAAAAAAGGGGGGGGATTTTAGGGGCCGGTCTCATCAGAGCCAGGAGAAGTTGCAGGAAGTGGATTTCTGCATGAGAATGTTGCATATATGCAGCCTCTGAGCGCTAGGTGCCTGTGGGCCGCTTCTGCATAGCCAAAGGCCATTTTCAGGAGCCTCTGGCCCCTCAGTCACTGGCCTGCTAGTTAATTGCCACATGGACTTCATGACACATGGGCAGATAATATGACATTTTCAGTTTCTGTCACTAGCAAACGCCACGACGTTGCTTGCACTAGTTGCTAAGAAGCTGTCAGAAACCATTAGCAGTTGGCTAAAGTCGCCCTATGGCATTTCCTCATGGCATCAGCAAAACGAGCATAAATCACCCACTGGAGCCTACTGCTATCCTAATGAGGCTGTGAGCTTGTTTATGGACTAGCATCATTTTTATGATTATTTCCACCTTTTCAGTTTGCCTTCATTTGGCGGCAGGAATGAAGTCACTGCTGACATTTTACAAATGTGCTTCAGAGCTGCGGCCTGCTGCCGGACGGTCGGCCAGCGGTGGCCAAGTTGGTTTAGTGATCTTAAAAATAAAACACACACACACACACACACACACAAAGCAAAAAGACACCCTCCCGAGACCACGGAGAGGTGACTCTCAGATGGCGTCGTGAGTGGAAATGCTGAGGGGACAATTGACCATTTAGATGCTGCTCTGGGGTTGAGACGTTGTGAGATCAATTTTCAATTCTAGAAAGTGGAAGAGGTTAAACAATTTATTAAAATCTATGAGAGTGTTTGCTTTTCGAATAGTCTGTTTTATTATGCTCTACTCCTTCCCCATCTTCTCCATTTCCCCAGCTTGTGTCGGGAAGGAGCAGGGTTTATTATTTTAGGCTTTTCTGAACATGGACCAGTATTTACACTGGATTGAAAGCATTTGCTTCCAATGAAAATCTTGTCTTAGATTACAACCCAGCAGTGTAATTTCCCTCCCAGATGGGAGTAAAGTAGCTGTATTTGCCTAAAAACAGTAGGAAGAACAAACTGTGCATTAAGCCCAGGCTGTTTTTGGCTTGAGCTAATGATGTAATAGGAACCTTTTATTCTGGAGAGGTCACTGCCAGGGACTGAAGGGGTGATCTGGCTCCTGCTTGAAAGGTTTCTCCATTGTATCTACATAAGTCTTCACTTAAAAAATTCTGTTCCTAATGCTTCTGCTTTCAAACAGCAGAAATAAACAGGAAAGGTTCTGGTGAGTGTTACACATGGAATGCAGAAAGCCTTCCTTCCCTAATGGAGTATATAATTCAGGTGCCCTCAAGGCACGCTTTCAGAAATTCTTTTGCCTGAGGTAATGGGAAGCTAAGGCAGCTTTAAGGCCTTGATTATCTATTGATGCACAAAGCTGGAAAAAAATCATCTCTGCTGGATTATAGTAGATATTTCCATAAATTATCAATGAATTCTCTTCTAGGCAGACGCTAGGCATTGCCTGCTAAATTAATCTGAAGGGGTTTTGAGACCATAGAAAGGTGCGATTTTTTTTCTTTTTAGGTGGAGAAGAGTCATTGGCAAGTGAAAAACAGGATCATTAGGTTAGAAGTTGTTCATTTTCACGTAATCAGTGATGGAGTCATGTATTTCTTTCCCTTTTTGTGTATTGAAAGTTGATTAGCCCATTGAAATTTTAAATGCTGTTGAGTTGTTTTCTCATGGGTTTTTTTTCCAATCAATTGTTATTTTATATGGTGAATTGCTTCTCAGAGTACAGTCTCTTTAAGTCCTGGGATGAGCTGTGCTGGCATCTGCAGTGGAGAGTTGAGGCGCTAACCAAAGGTGACTGCTTTAAATCTACCAGCAGCTCGGCAGGGATGGACCATCTCTTTCCTGGGGATTTACAGCTTCTAAAAACTCGTTGGCAGGTCAGCTAGGAATCAGTTCTGACTTCAGCACAAATGAGAGAGTTTGAGTTTTAAATATTAGATGTTAAATAAAAAAAAAATTACTAAATCCATCCAGGGGACTCCTCATAAAGCACTTGGTTATGCAAAGCGTGCCAGGTGGAGCGAGCTGGGATGACACAGCCTGGTCCACATCATGGGGTCAGAGTGACCTTGGGCAAGTCACAGAAGCAACACTTTCCCCACAATACAAGGAATACTTTAGAATTGTGGATCTTTGTAGCCCTTTTCCCATGAGAACAAAACTATGTGGAGTTTTGGTTTTGGGTTGTTTTTTTAAAATTTAATCAAATATATACATTGAAGTAAAAGTATAAATTAATAAAACATTAAACAGCAAGAAGCTCTCCAGGAGGTTTATATTTGTGACATATCCACAATCAAATTGTTGTTGTGTGCCATCAAGTGGGAGTTGATTTGTGGCTGACCCTCCAGCAGGTTTTCAGCCGCAGTGAACCTCCTGAGAGATGGCCGGGCCTTGAATGGAGCAGGTGGATTTGAATCCTGTGCGTTTGGGGTTGTAGTACTGCTTCTTACCACTAGGCCACGACAGCTGTTTAAATTAGTCAGCTTCCTACCCAATGAGTTAATAAACTTCAGCTCAGTACCAGTCAAGGCAATTTTGAGGTCATTTTATTTTGAGGCAAATTAATTTCCTGAGAGCGTTGTTAATGAACAATTAGCTCAGAACCATAGCTCAGAACCATAGATAAAGCAGCTAAAATCAGGATTGTTGTTGTAGACTGTTGAATCAGAACCTGCGCATTGCTGATCCTCCAGCAAGTTTTCAGAGGCAATAAATCGCACAGGGGAGAGGGGAAACCCAGGCTGCTCCTTGGACGCTAGGATTTTGAGGCTCTGTCTCACATACTTTGGGCATGTTACCAGGCGGGACCAGTCCTTTGGAGAAGGATGTCATATTTGGAAGGGTGGAGGGACAGTGCAGGAGAGAAAACTCCCAGATAAGGTGGGGTAATGAGGGTAGGTGTATTGGAGACAGTGAGATTAGCTCAGGTTAGGGCAGGGTTCAGAGCTGTTGTTGTGCATAGGGTCACTATGAATCGCAGTCAACTCGATGGAACGTAACAATAATAAATCCCACGGGAGAAGATTCTTTTGCAGAGCAGCTGGTGGATTTTGAACTGAGTGTCTTTTGGGATTGCAGTGCAGCTTCTTACCACTAGACCACCGTGGTTTTCCGTCCATTGGATATAAAGAACAGACATTGTTGTTATGTACTATCTAGTTGTAATTGACTCATCACTGACCTTCCAGCAGGTTTTCATAGGCAGCCAATCACACAGGAGCAGCTGGTGGATTAGAACCTCCTGCCCTTGTTGGCAGTACAACTCCCTACCACTAAGCTCCACCAGAGCTCCCTAAATAACAGACATGTTGTTGTTGTTATGTGCTGTTGAGTCGCTTGCAACTCATAGCGACCCTATGTACAATAGCTCTAAACTCTGCTCTGTCCTGTGCCAAACTCACTGTCTCCGACACACTCATCCGATTGCTCCTGTCACAGAATCAATCCATCTCCCAGATGGATTGGCAAGACATAGGCAATGTAAATAAATAACAGACATAGGCAATGTAAATAAATCTGAGATGCAGCCCTGTGGCACAAGAGTTAAGTCTTCAGCCCCTGACCTAAAGGTTGTAGTTTGAACCCATCTAGCTGCTCCCCAGAAGAAAAACCTGGCATCTGCTTCTTGAACGATTACAGTGGAGGAAACCTGGTCACAGTTCTGTGCTGTCACCTGGGGCTGCTGTGAGAAGGGACTGACTCGTAAGCACCTAACAACTAGTCGTGCTAGTGTGCAGCCCCTAGGATGCTGTGTTATCAAAGACCCTGGCTCTTTGGGCCAAGGAGGTTGCTCTCTGGTGACGTTCTTAATTCGTACAAGATAGTTCTTCCTGGGCTCATCTCATCCTACCCATTTCTGAAAGCCAGTAGTCCCTCAGATAGCTGGGACAGCCAAATGGTGTTTGTAGAAGCGAAGGTGCTTTTTAGTGATACGAGGCTGGATCAGCGTGGCTTTCTCTGACTTCTGTGCCAAACAAATAAAGGAATACAACTTCCCTTTGTGACTGCGGAGAATGACTCTATGGTCTCGGGTTTCCTATTTTTCTCCTTTTTAAATAGCATTGCAAAAAAATTACCATGTTTTGTTTTGTTTTAAAAAAAATCTTATTGTATCATGGAAGCCAAACTATGTCCTAGAAAGAACAACTCAAATTTTATAAAAATCAAAAAGAAAAGGAAATGGAATAGTTAGGAATATACTAGCAGGTATTTTTCATTTTAAACATATTTAAATCTGAAAAATGTTATAAACTGTTTGGATTATTGGTGTAATATATTTCTAACTTACTCTTCAATGAGCATTGATTTGTTTTACCTTAATAGCAATTATTTTGTAACAAAAACTTATTTCAGGGACTTTTCCCTGACTAAACCTGATGCTCTCGCTGTATGTACCACAAGAGTGAGTAAATCCTATTTGAAGCATCTTCACGTCACACTACTTGTATGATAGATTATCTGTATTTTCATTACCTGCTTTAACTAGTTTTAAGCTAGATTATTTGGGAAATAGTTGCTATCGTAAATGAATGTTCTCCCAAGTTTATACCAATGACTGGATGTGGGATTCTAATACCCAGGCCATGGCAGCACCTCTGGTAAAGGTTGCCGCCATATTTAACTCCCCAACAGGAGTTACGCTTAACGTGTCTCAGCTCTACATGCTGGAATAATTAACAATGGCAGCCAAGCTTCTAAAGCTTGTTTGCCTCCATTCCCTGTGACCTTTTGCAATGTCCTTTGGAAGATGTGCTTTAGAACCAGCTACGATTGAGTTCTTTCTCTTGAAAAGCAAACAAAACAGTACTACCAGAGACATTATTAATCATTGAAATTGCTCTTTTCGTGTTGTTGATGGCCAAAGGCATTCTATTTGCATAAAGCATGTCAAGGTAGCATCAGTCAAAATTTGATTCACTATGTTCGCAGGTGATGGCTTGGACAACAGTGTAGCTTCCCCCAGCACAGGTGACGATGATGATCCAGATAAGGACAAAAAGCGTCACAAAAAGCGTGGCATCTTTCCCAAAGTAGCCACAAATATCATGAGGGCGTGGCTGTTCCAGCATCTAACAGTAAGTGGATTCTCAATGACATATGTAAACTAACTATGGACAATGAACCAGTTTTGCTAGAGAAGAAAATGGAGGGGGAGAAAAAGAGAGAGAGAGAGAGATCCCTCTGGACTTGGAATATTTCATTAACCTGTGAGTTCTCGCAGTTTTGACCAAACTGTTAGTACTTGTTTTTTTAGACCCATACTTCACTGAAGAGTTTAATATGAAGTTCCCTACTGGCACTTATGCTAACTTTAGTAAATACCAAGGTTTAGGAGTTCGTGTACACTTGTGATTCTAAGTTTATATGTTAATAATGTTGCTTGTTTAAGAGTTCTCCTCAGCTTAGCTCAGTTCTAGCACCCACAAAGAGGACTTTAAGCCAAACCTGAGAAAGGATGAATATTTTAAAATGCTCTCGTGGATCTTAATAGTGAATGGTCCACAAAAAAGTTTACATTTTGCTGCAGTGACCAGATGCTCACGTAATTGGCTTGGAAATGGTTTGAATACACTGAGCTCCATTACCAACCAACCCTTCATCGAAGACAGGACTCCACAGTGGAAGTTGTCCCTGTCTGGAGAACTGGAAAGGAAAGCGGCAATACAGAGGCAGCTCTTCCTGTGTTGTCCCTTGTGACTTCTCAAGCAGAGTAACAGTTTATATTGTCTGTGTGAGTATTGCTGTTTTCGCTGCAGGAATTCTCCTGGACATGTGAGAAACTGGAGACTCGGGGTCTTACACCACCGGGAGATTGGTTTGGTTTGGCTATTGTTCTGAATGAATTTCATGTTCCAAATATTTACAATCATAATATTTTGGTAGTTTTTTTAAAAAATAACTGTATACTCATTTAATGATGTTTAAGAAAGACACAAAAGGAAAAGAAATGTATAAGTAAAAGGATACTTTAAAATTCAGCAAAACTGTTGGTAGGGGGTCTTGTAACATTAGGGATGAAAGGGTGCATTTAGACAAGGTCCAGCGTAGCCTAACCTAAGATGTTTGAATGCTAGAAACTCTTGAAGTTTGGTTTGTTTTTTTCTTTTTTTTGTGCCTGGAGCAAACCTTTTATGTTACTATTTTTAGATTGGGTGGTTTTGTGTTAGTTTTTGTTGTTGTTTTTTTTAAGAGTGTGTATTTTTCTAAAAAGATGACAATTCTGTGTTGTCACAGTCACGTCTAGAACCTTCTGACCCTCACACCCTGCCCAATTTAAAGTCACATCCCTTGATGAGTTGTAATGATACAAGAAAACAAACTCAGAATGTCCGAAGGCCACGCTGGCTGTGTGCCCCTAGACAGACGCTGTGCATCCAGTAACACTCGGGGGTATAAATTAATCCAGATTTCCCAGTACCGGTGAATAAAATAAAAACTAAGAGTAGCAGAAAGTCACTCTTTAAGAAGTCACTCTTTCCCTCTCTTCCCATCAAGCATTAAAAAATCAAGTGCATCATTTTAGGAACTGATAGCAGTTAGTTGAAGGGTTAGACTCTATTTTGACTGTCAAGACTTAAATATCGTATTAGCTCTTCCTAAAATCTGATTCAGGTACAATTGCTTACCACTTGTTGCACGTTTCAAGATCTGCCCTGTGCAAGAGTCCTGTGGAGGATTATCCACCACTATTGAACTGGCAAAAGAAGGAAGGCAGGGGAAAGGATGTAGAGGTGTATGGGAGAAAAACAAGAGGTATCACACTTAAAGTTAGCAGAATTTAAGAAGCTGTGGTTGGCTAAAGTCATTGATGCAACCATGCTGATACGTCATTATCAGAATTAAACAGCTTAGTCTGAAGTAGATAGGGAAGGGTAGACAGCAAAATCAGATTGACTCGGAATTAAAACTATTTCTATTCCTTATATGAATAAGAAAAAAAAATTCCCCCTTCCACCTTCATCTCTAAAGGGGCTTTGGCTTTACTTGAAGCTGAGATGCCCCTGAATAAAATATAATCAAATATTGGTTCAGACAGAATCAGAAGAGATAGAAAGCAAGCTCTTTTATTCGTCCTTCAGATTTTGTTTTTCTAGGTCATACCTTTATAAAAAACCTTTCAGAGAGACATATTATCTCAGGATTAAAGGAAAAAAAATGAAAAAAGCTCTTTTTAACAGTCTGTTCTTACTACAATTCCATGATAACATGATCATGTGTTATAGGGGCACTTGTAGTAGAAATTATCCATTAACTGCCAGGTTTCTTGAGATCCTGTAAATTTCCTCCAGTTTTGGGGTCCTTGCTGGCCTGTGCCACTGCCCTGAAGTGTCTCCTGCTCTCATTGAATGCCAGCTGACTGTTGCTCTTCCCTGAATGTTTACGTTCTGTCTGCTTGATAAGGGGCCCTGGTGACAGAGTGTGTTACTTGTCTGGTTACTGACTTGCTAACTGAAAGTTTAGCAGTTTGAAGCCCACTAGGGGGAAGATGACAATCTTTCCTGTACAGACTCACTGCCTCAGAACCCCGGTGGAACCTCAAAGACATGAACCAGACTCATCTGTAGTGGATTTAGCGTTTTTTGGTTTTAACCACTCCATACAATCCATGGGTGGTGGGAACTAGGAATACTTTGAGTGGTTAACCAGAAAGCTGGAGTTTTGAGTCTGCCCAGAGGTGCCCCCAGAGAAAGGTCTGGCAATCAACTTCTGAGAAACCAGCCTTTGAAGAATCTGTTGGAAATTAGTGTTACTCTAACACCCATGAATTATCATGAGTTGGCATCAACTCCAACATTACTAGAACTATCCTCCATTCCTTAATGCTGGCTCAGGGAAAAATACAGACAACATCCAGCTTATACATGACCAGTAGTTCAGAACCAACCCGTTTACCTCCTCTAAAGGGGTATATATGGTAGTGTGTATATAGATGTCTTAGAAAAAGACATCATACTGCAATAGATGAAAGGTCAGAGAAAGAGCAGAAGAACTCAGCAAGATGGATTGGCATGGTAACTGGAATGGGCTTGGGCATAGCGATGAGGATGGTGCAGGAAAGGGCAAGGTTCAGATCTGTTGTTCATAGGGTGACTTGATTGTATCTCACAGCAAATAACATGATAGCTCTTATTCATAAACGGGAGTTGCTTTACTACACACACCCAAACAGTATTGCTACTCTGTTACTATGTTAATGACATTTTAGTGTAACTGGAGCTTTTTCTTTAAGGTTTAATAGACAGATATACTGTGTGTATTATGTACTCTGACAAATACTAGTTTTTGGCTTACATGCGAATTAGACTTAAAAACAAACATAGTGCTAGAACTCATTCCTAAAGAGGACTGCCTGTAATGATAATTACAACCATCCCTGAAAAATCTAATTGCTCTCATAAACAGTTTCTAAAAAGCAAAGCCAAGAGATGTGTTTAAATTTGTAATTGTTTTTGGCTCTTTTCTTCCCTGATTGGAAAAGATTTCCTCACTCTTCTCTAATAGAAAAAGAAGAAAATGGGCCTTTAGTTATAAAGGGACATCCTCCTCCCTTGCTTTGCCATACATAGTGTTTGCAGGAATGCGTGCACTATTTTGGTAATATTTCTAGTCAGCAGCTGACCCTGATAAATTCTATGGGGAAAAAAATGAGGGAAGTCTATAGAGTTTAAAGACAGTTTTATTTTTTGCCCAAATAGGAGTACCTACTGACGTCTCAATACGAATCTTTTAGTAACTTTATTTTTGAGCCCAGAGAGGTCTTCAGGGATGCAAAACTCATTTGCAAGACTAGTACCGCTTTTAAACGATCACATTATTGCTACATGATTAATGCAGTTTGTTATCTAAAAAGTCCTTTCAGAAATCTTGCTGGATGTAAAGGAGCAGTTCAAACTCGGGCTAATTAAAACAATAGCAATAACAATTTATTAGCAAATTATAAGCTAATCTCCTTTATAAATGCCAAAAGGCATATTATAAACCCACTCATTTTTTTTTAAAGAACAAATTGCTAGGTTTTTCTCCTTTTTAAAATAAATGGGTCAGTCTTCTTCCTGGGTTTATTCTGTCTCTCTCTCTCTCTCTCTTTTTATTGAAAAAAAAAAACCAACAGAAAAAAAACCCACAAAACACCCTGTCTTTGAAAGGGCTTTTAAGCAATTGTATATTAGAGGAGCAGAACAGGCCCGGATAAAAATACCTTTCTGGATTTGTATCCTGGCTGCAAGAGAAAGAGAAAAAAGTGCCGTTCTATAGTTAGTCACAGGTAGACTTAGTCAGTAGCACATTTTACTGCTCCAGAGAGAGGCTAAAGCCTCATTCTTGGGCTCGCACTCTCTTGCTAGCTCAACTGGACATGCTAACATATAATAAAAACAATAAAAGAAAAAGGAAACAGGCTTTCAACTTTGGTGATTATGGGCCAAAAGGAAATTTCAGTGATGCAAATTTAGAGCTTTGGACTTAGTTGAACATTTGCCAATTTTGATAAGTAGGGAAGGCTTCTTAAAAGAAGTGACTCCCTGGAGTTGAAAGAGTGACTGACGTTATTTAGATACTAGAAGAGAATTGGGAAGAAAACAAAAGCATTTATTAATACAAATGCTTGCATTTGTCAGAAGATAAATGATTACAAACAATTAAAAAGTACTTAGTATTTGCATGGGAGTCACTGCATAGTCACAGCTAATCAGTGCAGGGGCATATGCCCTATCAAGTTTTCTTTATTCTTCTTGAGGGCATTTTTCCAACTGGAAATATAACCTGTCCTGTCTTAGTGCTTAAACTGGTTGTGTTTTGCATATTACTGGTTCTTTTGTGACCTAGCGTTAACAAGAGTTGAGTCCTATGATACAGTGGGTAAGCAGCATTTCCCTACCAAGAGAATGAAGTCTTTAGAAAGTCTGATGCCAGACTTAGGAACCCTGTAGGGCAGTTCCGGATCCTTGAAGGTCTCAGTGGGCTGGAGTGCAACTTTACAGCAATAGATTTAGTTTGATTTTCAAGATAAAAATATGTGTCCAAGGACCTGGTGAAGCTGAGAAGAAAATGAGAAATACAATGCTTAAGGTAAACA